AGCGCCCCTCGCAAGGGCGGGCGTCCCCCCCGGGAGCCAACACACCGCCTCCCCGCCCGGGGCTGAGGCTCCGCTGCGGGCATTTGCTTCGGGCAGAGATCCCCCCCAAAACAACCCCAAACCCGCGCGCTGCCGCCTGGCTCTGTAGCCGTCACCAAAATATTGCCCCGACCGCTGCAGGACGAAGGGACGGCGCAGAGTGCGCAGCTTCGTCCGGTCATCGAGCGCGCTGATGACACACGCTGTGAATTAGCGGGGAAGCTCCTTGTCTCGGCGCACATCCTCGCCAACAACAGCGTGAGGAGAAACTGGCAGGAGGGTTTTTTTCAATATAGGGACACCAAACTCACATCATTTCCCGAGTTTTATAGCTTGATCCTCGGCTGAGGCTTCCTCTCGTGCCCAGCTCTGCGTCGGAGGAACTGCCCCGGGAGGGACCGATAGGCAAGAACCGCTCGCCGTTACGGAAACTTCCACGGAGGCACGGCCGAGTGCGAGATAAAAGATAAAAGTGCAGCAGTAAAAATAATTCCACGGTACTAAGGCGCCTGCTGGCATTCCGATGAAAGGGGGTTATACATGAAAAGAATGTCGTACAAATCGTCTTTCTCAAAACCGAACCTAACTTAAAACTAAACAAAATCCCCTCCGCCGTTGTTCTTTAATGAAAATACTTGTTTTAAAGGTGGCTTTTTATGTAACTCTCTGGCGTATCTGGTGTCTGTGCTGCTCCCTCATCCTTCCCTAAGCCAGCCTTTTGACATATTTCCAAGGAACATAAGAATGACAGATCTGGTATCCTGTGTTTCATTTTTAAAAATCGTTTTAAAATACAGATTTTTTTATCCCTCAGAGGAAGGTTTCTGATCTAGACGGCCGTGCCCAGGTTTCTGCTTCCCCAGCTGAGATACACGCTAAGGATAAAAGGGAAGGGTATTCGGTGCCAGCGGCAGCAAGCGCCTGGGCTGCTGCTGCTCCCCGGGCGCCGGGGCTGTGACACTCATCATGCCACTGCCAAGCCGAGGATCAGATCCCAGCTCGGTACTTGGAGATTCTGCTACACCACTGAATCCCTTCCTGAAATGTGGGCTTTAAAGGACTGTGAACTGAAGCTGATAAATGAAAATGATTTTTTTTTTCCCCTTCTCTCTGTGAACATAAAGAACTTTTCTTGGTTGCAGTTGTCTTCTTCCACTCGAGCAAATGGTAAACTGCAACACACAGTGAACCTTTCTGTCTGAAAGGCTCCCGAGGATGAAGCAGGCAAACCCAGCAGGGAAGCGAGTGCGCTGCATGCATGCAGCCATTATTCAGAAAAAGCTGTCTGTTCACATCCCTCCGTCACCGTCTCTTCATTTGAAAGACTAACTACTTCCCTCTCCTCCTCTCCCCCTAGAAGAAATGTTTTCTTCCCCATTTCTTTTAATGGCTAAGCAACGCAATAGCAAAGGTATTGAAACCCAGTCTACTGAATAATAACTTAATGATGTGAACCCTGTTCTGTTCCTTTTGAATGGATGGCTGCTTTAGCAAGAGAGCTGCTGGGATCTGCTCCCTGCTGTGAGGGATGAGGGTGGAGAAACCTGGATTGAAGCTGAACGGCAACCAGAGTGGCATAAAACTGAACCAGAATGCAAGAATGAGGTCAATGCTGCAAGACTGTGAAATAAGGAGAAATTACATGCAGTTAAGCTCATCTCAGGAACTAGTAGTGAACACTTATATTAATGAATGTCTGGAATTGTCTGTTAACGCCAGTATTGCCAATACCTGCTAGAACACTGCCGCGTCGAGCTGTGTTTAGTTTGCATGCTGAAGCACGATGCAGCATGGCAGAGGTTAATGAAATGCACTGGCGTAAAATCTTCGCTGGGTGTTTTCAGCATGTGCAGTCATACCCAGAACGAGTGGAAGCTGAAAAATCATTCCTTCTAGTTTCACTTTCTGGCAAACATATGAAACCTTGAAAATTTATTTTGGCTATCTAGAAAAGCAGAGTAAAACAACCGCATTTATTTCGTTTGTATCTGATGTCACATCTGAATGCAGGTCTCCAGAGGTGATATATTAATGTCCTAAAGCGTTGCACCATCTGGTTCCTCTTTTGATGCACAACGTTTTGAATGCTTGGTTTAATCTCCCTGGGTTTCAGTAAATTATGTAAACTCGGAGGCTTGGCAGCAGGAGATGGGCACCATGAGGAGATGATTCAGTCATCAATATCTATTGGGCTTCCTTATTGCTGCCATTACACTTCTTTCAGTTCTACTTATAAATTTTGCAAGTGAACAATTCATCGCACTAGGAGCTGCAAGTTAGTTTTGGAATTTGCCCACTATGAGATTAGCTATGACTAATCCATCCTTTCCAAAAGTGGAAAAGCTAACTGGGCTTCTTTTTTCCAGGGTTGGGTGATAAATCAGTAGTAAATTGCCTGTATATGTAGCTGTTGGTGATGACATAAATCACATTTCCTTTTTTTCCTTTCTGGACAGAATCGGAGCACCTTGGAATAGATGTGAGTACAAGACTTTGCACCAGCTAAAGCTGCCTTGGAAAGCCATGGCTGCCGCCCCTCATCTCAACTCGGATGCGCTCCGAGAGGTCCTGGAGTGCCCCATTTGCATGGAGTCCTTCACAGAGGAGCACCTGAGACCCAAGCTCTTGCACTGCGGGCACACCATCTGCAAACAGTGCTTGGAGAAGCTCCTAGCAAACAGCATTAATGGGATACGCTGCCCCTTTTGCAGCAAAATCACACGGATCACAAACTTAGCTCAGCTGACTGACAACCTTACTGTGCTGAAGATCATTGACACCGCCGGACTGGGGGAAGTGGTGGGTCTTCTCATGTGCAAGGTCTGTGGGAGAAGGTTGCCCAGACACTTCTGCAAGAGCTGTAGCTTGGTTTTATGTGAGCCGTGCAAGGAGACATCACACGTACCCCAAGGGCATAGAGTCATTGCTATCAAAGAGGCTGCCGAAGAGCGTAGGAGGGAATTTGGGACAAGACTTGCCAGACTTCGGGAGCTCATGGGTGATCTGCAGAAAAGAAAAGCATCCCTGGAGGGTGTTTCGAGAGACCTGCAATCTAGATACAAAGCAGTGCTGCAAGATTACAGCAAAGAAGAGCGCAAGATCCAGGAAGAACTGGCCAGGTCACGCAAGTTCTTCACCACCTCTTTGTCTGAAGTGGAGAAGGTAAACAATCAGGTAACAGAAGTGCAGATAATGTCTCGCTGTGACTACTTCCTTGCCAAAATAAAGCAGGGAGATATAGCTCTCCTGGAGGAGGCAGTGGATGAGGAAGAACCAGAACTGACAAACAGTCTCCCAAGGGAGCTGACTCTTCAAGAGGTTGAACTCCTTAAGGTGAGCCACGTGGGACCATTGCAGATCGGGCAGGTGGTGAAGAAACCCCGGACCGTTAACATGGAGGAATCACTCATGGAAACTGCAGCATCCTCATCGGCGTCATTTAGGGAGCCTGACTTGGTGCAAGAAGAGGCCAGCTGCACACCAAACTCCTCACCAGCCAAGCCAAGGATGCCTGAAGCAGCCACGAGCATCCAGCAGTGTCACTTCATCAAGAAGATGGGCTCCAAGGGCAGCCTGCCAGGGATGTTTAATCTCCCTGTCAGCCTACACGTCACCCTGCAAGGCGAGGTGCTTGTGGCAGACCGAGGCAATTTCAGAATCCAGGTTTTTACCCGCAAGGGCTTTCTGAAGGAGATCCGACGGAGCCCTAGCGGGATTGATAGTTTTGTATTGAGTTTCCTTGGAGCAGACTTGCCCAATTTGACTCCCCTTTCTGTCACCATGAACTGCCACGGCCTGATAGGTGTGACCGACAGCTACGATAACTCTGTCAAAGTCTACACCATGGATGGCCATTGCGTGGCGTGTCACCGGAGCCAGCTGAGCAAGCCCTGGGGCATCGCCGCCCTGCCTTCTGGGCAGTTTGTAGTGACCGACGTGGAAGGAGGGAAACTCTGGTGTTTCACGGTGGACCGTGGCGTGGGGGTAGTGAAGTACAGCTGCTTATGTAGCGCAGTGCGCCCCAAGTTTGTCACCTGCGATGCTGAAGGGACCATATACTTTACTCAAGGGCTGGGGCTTAACCTGGAAAACCGGCAGTACGAACACCATTTAGAAGGAGGCTTTTCAATTGGCTCCGTCAGCCCAGATGGACAGCTGGGACGCCAGATTAGCCACTTCTTTTCCGAAAATGAGGATTTCAGGTGCATCGCTGGCATGTGTGTCGATGCCAGGGGAGACCTCATTGTTGCTGACAGCAGCCGTAAAGAAATCCTGCATTTTCCTAAAGGAGGTGGCTATAATATCTTAATCCGGGAAGGACTCACCTGTCCCGTCGGTATTGCCATTACTCCCAAAGGGCAGCTGCTGGTGCTGGACTGCTGGGATCATTGCATTAAGATCTACAGTTACCATCTGAGAAGATACTCCACCCCTTAAAGGCACGTCTCTAGGTTAAAGCCCCTTTTGGCAGCAGAGATTCTTCCAGCCTTGTTGCAATCTGATGGGAACTGGCGTCAGGCGTTCAAGAAGATTGTGCCATAACCGAAAGGCGTTTGGCAGAGAGGCCGTCAAGTTTTGTGTGTAGAAACAAAATAGCTTATGTGGTGGTGGTCTGCTTTTTCTTCTTCTTTTTTGTAAAAAATCCGCACAATAAAAAAGAACAAGCGTGAGGGAAAGGATCCATCCTTCTGGAGTATTGGTTCCTTGCTAAATGACTGGTCACTCCATAAACCTTCTCACCTCCTTTCGCCACAGCTCCTACACTTCCAGCTTCGACCATTGTGTCTTTCTTTGTGCCATAAACACTGACTGACTGCTCTAAATCACCTTCCCTTAGAGGACTAGAGAGGCAATCCTCTTTTTGCTGTGGTACTCGCAAGGAACTGGGTAGCAGTTGTCTGGGCAACTACTAGAGAAAGCAATTTCTGATTGCAACACTGCATAAAACGAAATAGCCCTCTTAAACTGCAGGGAGATGGAGCTTTACTTTCAAACTGACGAGGGAGGGTTTTCTCTCTCTGTTTTACTGGTATTCAGGAGATCGCCCTGTCGTGCCATTTGTGAACCGTGTCTGTTCAGTGTGAAGTGGGTACTGTGCAATCATGGGAGACTGCGCTGAGCCTGAGAACTGCCCTCTGATGGCAACAGGGGTTTTGGTACTACTAAGAGTTCTGCTAGGTAGAAGGGGGTAAAAAGGGAGGGGGCTGGAGGGGGAAAAAAAAAAAAAGAGGGAACCTACAATTGATATTTACTCTTGTTTTATTATTAAATGTATCCTGGAAATTGTCTTTGGAAGGTATGTCTGGTATCTGAAGCTTCAGGGCAGGGGGGCTGGTGGAGTAAGACCGGGAGATTGCAGTAAATGAGATTAAATGCAACATATTGTGTATTCACCTGCACTTCTCTCTTCTGCATTCCAGCCCATTGCATTTAGCAATAGGTTTCCAATCACCTGCACTTTGTACTCACTGCTGAGGTGGGCATGGCGGGGGGGGAGGGACACGACACTGTTTCCCTTTTATTTTTTAATACTTGGAAGCACATCCATCGGTGTGTTGCCTTTTTTTTCCCTTGCACAGCAAAACACTACATTCCTCAGATTTTTTTTTTTTTTTTAACGGCACCAGCAGGCACCAGAGTTCATGTTCATCACGGCTTTGGGCCAAATGAAGCACAAAACTGCAGCTGTGTGAACCAAGGCCCCCACAGTGCTACTCTCCTGGCTGATAAATGTGTACCTCAGTGTGGTGCTGCTTGCCTAGAATAGTTTATTGAAGGAAAGATGCATTTAAATAGGGCACAGTGGTAGCATGTTAATCTGCCACAGATAATAGTTACACTGCAGTGCATTTATTTGTTGCTATCAACAACGTAGTTGCAAATTTGGGGGCACGACAGACAATATAAAAGCTGATTTTATGGTGGCTGCCGTGCTACGGCAAATTGTTTGCTGCTTGTGCTACAACATGTGTGCAACAGGTGATTTTTTTTTAAGCTCCCATATACATTCCCCTAGTGAAACAGCAAAGGAAAATAGGCTTCAGAGCCGCTGCTGCTCCAGCCAGTTCTTTGGCAGTTACAGGGTTTGCAGAAGCAGTGCAGGGAGCAGATTTTAGTGAGATTTTAGGGTTTGTTTTGTTGTTTGGGTTTTTTTTTTCTCTCTCCCTGTTCTGCTCAGCCAAAGCGCTGAAGAGGGCCAGCACAACAACCACACTGCTGGGTGACGGAGGTGCCCCTCCATCAGGGCAGCTTCCTATTTCTCTCGCTATAATTTGCTGGAAAAAAGCTCGCAGGGAAGGGAGCGGGAGCTAAGACACTGGCGTGGTAGACAGTGCTGAGGGAGCCTGAGGGAACTGAACTCCCCCTTCCCTCCCCCATGTGTTTGCCAAGGCTACCAACTTGCACATAATTATTTACATTCCCTGCTTCTCTTTCCTGGCTGGGAAGGGGTAGTCGCCTAAGGTACATAACAGCAATTTGGGGAGCTGATCTCATCTTGCATGTATGTTTTTGGGAGACGACGAGTGTTACTGGGCCCTTCTGCAGTTAATTACACTGTAACTCAAGGCGTTTTTTCCAGTATTATGGTAATGGCAGTTCTTCTCCTACTGATCTCTTTTAAACATTTCTCCTGTTCCTAAGAACTGCTCCAAGCAGGAAGCTACCGTGGACCTGAATAATTGAAGCAATATTATCTGTGATAATATGTACCTCTGTCATTTGCTGTTCCAATGTATTTTTTTTTTTTTGCAATAAACATCACGCTACTAGCAATAACATTTCCTGGAGTGCTTGAAGGGACATAAAAGCTGGACCGGTAAACTGAGCAGTTGGTTACCCCAGCCTGTTCCTGGTTACACAGTTCAAACAAAGCGTCTGTCATCTGTTTTTCACTCAGAGATCCAGGAAAAATAACACCGCCCTGCGATGCACCGGTGGGCCGGGACACTGCGATCGGCGCCTGGGGGTGTGTGTCACCTGCGGCTCTTCTGCTAGGCTTGGATTTCAGGCAGAAAAGGGAGTAAGAAAACCTGCTGTCCCTCGCCCAGGGGATGCACGTACCCCGACAAAACTCAAAAGTGACTGCAAGATGATTTTGCAGAGCTGTATTTCTTGCCATGGTGCCCCCACACTATGTTGTGATCGTCTGCCAAACGAGATGAAATGGAGTAATTAAGGACTGCGATGAAATCGTTTGGCTTCTGCTCTCTTACCTGGAGAAAGAGCTTGTCTGGTTATACATATGTGTGTGGTTTTTAAAGATTGTGTAATAAAGGAAAAATTGATCCAATTAAAAGTGCATTGCAAACGGCTTATTTTCTTATTAAAAACACTTCATCTCCTCCCTTTGGTGGCAGATGGGTTTTTATGGCCAGTGGGGATCAGACTTGGGAACACAATGGCTACGAGACCCCTTCTACGCCGTCAGGTTATGGAGGATAAATCTGATCTCCTTGGCAGGTCTCACGTAACTTTTTCTGACGCTTCCCTACCCACCTCATAACCAAATACAAGAGTTCAGTGCCTTAATTCACGCCAATACTCCCCCAAGGGCAATATCTTACTTTTCACTGTAGCCAACACCTGATGTTTTAAAGGTCTGGTCCAAATTCCCTGGCACCGAGTACTCAGTAACGGAACGTGGAGACCTGGCTGAAGGCTTCATCACCCGTGCCCCTGGCTCATCGAGGGGCTTCCCGGCTCAGCTCTGCCCTTCTGTCCCGCTGCAGGAGGGACATGTTTGCTGGGGCTGGTAGGAGGGCTGCTGTGAGGGTTCACCTATTATTTTGGATAATTTTGATAAACGCTGCAGAAAAAATTGTATTAGAAACAGTGTATTTAGGTGGAGCCAAAGGAGAGCTAAGCAATTTGCCACTCAGCTTTCAAAGACATCAGCAGCATGTGCAGGTCCTCCCCCGGTCTTGCTAGCCAGCTGGGCTTGCTGATCTGGATGAAGGTTTCTATCACTTGGGCTCATCTCAGATGATCATAGAATCATGGAATCGTTCAGGTTGGAAAAGCCCTTTAAGCTCATCAAGCCCAACCGTTCCCCTAACCCTGCCATCCCACCACTAAACCCTGGCCCTAAGCACCTCCTCTGCCCGGCTTTTAAATCCCCCCAGGGATGGGCACTCTACCCCTTCCCTAGGCAGCCCCTTCCAGTGCCTCAACG